GCTATTTTAGCCGGCAGTTCATACTGCATCCTCCGGTGGACAAAGCCAAGCGTCGAGTGACCAGAAAGCTGCACAAACTGCCAACAACCTGTGCCCCCCTTGCTTTCACTTGCGGTGAAGTTCAGGTGGCCATCGGGAATGCGAAAGCCTCCAAAGCCATGGGTCCCGACGGAATATGCACGGTTTTAAACTACGCAGCGCCAGTGTGGTCGCCGGGGACTAGTAGGACGCAGTGGACGAAGCTACAGACTGTACAGAACACCGCACTCAGGACAGCGACAGGATGCCTCCTGATGTCGCCCGAACATCATCTCCACGTCGAGGCGCAAATGCTCCCCGTAAAGGAGCACGACATTATGCTCTGCAAGCAGTTCCTGATCGGGAGCCACAGAAGTGGCCACCCAAACAGACAGCTGCTTGCAGAGGAGCCCTCGCCTAGGCACGTCAGGAGGCATCTATATGAACTGACGGACGAAGTCCATAGGTTCATCAAGCAACCTCTGGACCCGTCAGCTTACCGACTGGCCCTGAACGGCATTCACAGGGAGTCAGCCTCGAGTTATGTAGACTCTAGACCTGTGAATGCCGTTCTAGGCATACCGCTCCCGGACATAGACGAGACGGAGCTTCATCTGCCTCGGGAGACACGAACGATCGCTCGGGCTACTGCAGCAGGTTAAACTCCTACCTGAGTAGATTGAATGAGGATGCGCCAAATTTGTGTCCGGCATGCGGAGAGACCCCACATGACTCGAAACATCTCTTCGCATGCCCGGAAAACCCGACAACCCTAACGGCTTTGTCCTTGTGGACCAACCCAACAGAAGCTCCACGCTTCCTAGGGCTGCCGTTAGTGGAACTTGGCGACAACGACTGAGATACCAAACGACCTGGGCGAGGTTGTTGTAGCCGCTACAACAACAACAACAACGGAATATGCATGCTGATGCTGAAAAATTTGGGTCCTGCGGGGGTAGCGTACCTAACGGAGGTCCTCAATTTGTCCATGGCCACTCTCATCATCCCAGACATCTGGAAGGTGGGGGAGTGGTCCCTCTGCTCAAACCGGGGAAACCTGCTAACATAAGAGATTGTTATCGTCCGATAACACTCCTTTCCCCGGTAGCGAAGACACTCGAGGCCTTGCTACTCCCGTATTTCACAAACCACTTGACCTCAGCGAAGCATCAGCATGGTTTCCGTAAAGTGCAGAGTACAACAACAGCACTTAACGCCATAAACACTCAGATAACTCGTGGCCCTAACCGTAAACGTCCCTGTGAGAGAACGATTCTAGTAGCGTTGGACCTGTCAAAGGCTTTTGACACTGTCAGCCATTCCACGTTACTAGAAAATAAAGAGGCTTCCTCTCTCCCACAGAGGCACAAACGGTAGCCGGCAAATTATCTAAGAGGTCGACACTCGTCGGTTATGTTTAGAGACGAATCGAGCAAATTTAGAAAAATGAAACAGGGGGTTCCACAGGGTGGTGTCCTTTCCCCACTACTGTTTAACTTTTACATTCCAAATCTCCCTCAACCACCAGAGGGAGTCTCGATTGTCTCTTACGCCGACGATTGCTCTATCATGGCGACTGGGAATGGAATTGATGACCTGTGTTCGAAAGTAAACGGATATCTCTCTGAACTTTCTCGCTTCCTCACTGCAAAGTGTCAAGCCCTCTCCCCTACGAAATCCTCAGCGACCCTGTTCACAACCTGGACGAAGGGCAGGCTACCGCTAGGAATTCACGTCGATGACACACCAATTCCGACGGTGAATAATCCTAAAATACTCGGAGTAACATTCGACAGCCTGCTCTCCTTCTCTGCGCACGCAACCGCTATAGTTAATAAAGTACAGAGCCGCAACAAGGTCCTCAAGTCGCTAGCCGGCAGTACTTGGGGGAAAGACAAAGAAACGTTGCTGGCAACATACAAGGCAATAGGCCGGCCGGTTTTAAACTACGCAGCACCAGTGTGGTCGCCGGGGACTGGTAGGACGCAGTGGACGAAGCTACAGACGGTACAAAATACAGCACTTAGGACAGCGACCGGATGCCTCCTGATGTGACCAGAACACCACCTCCACGATGAGGCGAAAATTCTCCCAATTAGGGAGCACAACAAGATGCTCTGCAAGCAGTTTCTGGTTGGGAGCCACAGATGCGGCCACCCAAATAGACAGCTGCTTGCAGAGGAGCCCTCGCCGAGGCACGTCAGGAGGAATATATATGGACTGACGGACGAAGGCCAGAGGCTCATTAAACAGCCTCTGGGCCCGTCAGCTCACAGACAGGCCCTGAACGGCATTCACAGGGACGCAGTCTCGAGTTATGTAGACTCAAGACCTGTGAATGCCGTTCTATACATACCGCCCCCGGACATTGGCGCGACGGAGCTCCATCTGCCTCGGGAGACCAGAACAACAATAGCCCAACTTCGCTCTGGCTACTGCAGCAGGCGAAACTCCTACCTGAGTAGGCTAAATGCGGATGTGACGAACGAATGTCCGGCATGCGGAGAGACCCCTCACGACTCGAAACATCTCTTCGCATGCCCGGAAAACCCCACAACCCTCACGGCGTCGTCCTTGTGGACCGACCCCATAGAAGCTGCACGCTTCTTGGGGCTGCCGTCAGTGGAACTCGGCGACAACGACAGCGATCTGGGCGGGGTTGCTGTAGCTGCTACAAAAACGACAACAACAACAACAACAACCCATTCCCTCATATGAATCACGTTGTGCGCTTCTGAACTTAAAAACTCTACGTAGCAGATCTGCTTATCTTGCTACCTATATCGTATTTTCTTAAACACACTATGCAATGTATGCTCTCTTGATTAGAACCTTAGTGGAGCTAAACAATATTCAAAATTTTGACCCGTCTCTATCTTGTGGAGCAGTTCGTAGTTTATTATACAACTATTTTAACTAGTTTTAAGTACTTCGGAATTATAGTCAGTAAGAATTTATTGTTCAATTGAGTGAAATAAATAAATAAAAATAAAAAATAAAATAAAATAAATTTCATCCAGCAACATGCGATCAGCTGTATTTCGTACAGGCAAATTCTTACAAGTAAAAATTTATCCAGTAAAAACTTGCAACTTTGTTTTATTATGGAAATTCACAAAATAAACCTATTTAAATATATGGACTTATTCATAAAAAATAAAGTAGCTTTATAAAAGGTTTATAAATTGAAAAATGTATGAAAACATCAATTTATAAAGCTCTTTAAACCTACTTAATTTTTTTGGAATTAGGCCAATAAAATATATTGTTTTATTAGAAATATGCTGCGAATAAACAACCAACTTATCAGCTGTTCATGAAACTTGTAAATTATTACTGGAATAGCGTTCGCGTACTTTTTTACCTTATTTTTATTAACTCGGGATGTAACTATGTATTATTGATGCGCCTAAAAGATGCAGCGATTTCTATTCCCAAGTTACATAGCTGATGACAATACGAATGGCAATTATAATAGGGAGGTTTTAGTTTTTTAAACTATAATTTTTCTAAATTTTTTCTATGAGAGCGAATTCTTAGAAATAAAGTTACTGGAGAGTTGCTGGCAAGTTTCCAACCAACATTATTATTAAAATAGTGCACAGATATAGCAAATTTTGGTTTTATAATAAAACATGAACTTTTGTCTACAAGTGCGTGTAAAAGTTTTTGGGAAAATTTTAGTAGACGGACGGCAAATTCTAGAAAAAGGGGGGATGAGGGGGGGTAGAATAGGACCCCCCGATTTCAAAAACTACCCCCCTTTTTTCTAGGAACCCTATAGTTCTTATATAATTTATTGTTAAAGTTTTCATATAAACGATGAATAAGATAGCAAAATAACATACAACTTAGTGCTACCAGACTGGAATTTTGAATAATAAAAGCGGATTTTTAGTTCGGAATTTTTACTTAGTAGAATTATTATTTCTGTGTTGCCGAGAAGGGGGGGCTGAACCCATTTTGCAGAGAACACCTTTCTGCGTAGGCGGCGTTCGGCCGCACTTAGGGATTATAACCCTCAGGCAGTAGAATTCTCCTTTCTGTTTTGCGAAGAAAAGGAGCTGAACACCTTTTGCAGAGAACACCTTTCTGCGTAGGCGGCCTTC